CTAGAAAAAAGTAAAAACTATAAACATTTTATAAAAAAAAAACAAATGAAGCCAGCAGATGCAGCCTGGCGCTTGCGAGGCGGCATAAAACTAGAGCCAGTGTAGAGGAGGATCAGTAGGAATATATATATATATATATATATATATATAAAAGGAAACAAATATAATTATGCTTTTCTTAACCGTTTTCTCTTACCCCCTTGGTGGATGTCTTTCTTCTCTTTGGGGCTTTCTTAATCCCATTGCGATGGTTCTTCTTGTTCTGCACATACACCGCAGCAGATACCAACGACACCCCTAACCTCCCCCTTCCCAGGCGGTCCAGTGTTTACCCAGAAAGCAAATAAACTCCACGCTGTCGCTGTAAACCCCTGCTGAGCTAAACCCGCAGCAAAAGGCTGAAAACAGAGCCCTTGCCGCGGGCCAGGGGCTCTGCTGCAGTGTGCACTGGGGCCGTATGAGCGACGGCAGTTCGATGAATTACAGCTGAAATATATTTTCTGATGACGCGGGAATGCAGCAACTACAAAAAGGGTTTGGGGTTCAAGAGGAACTGCTGCTGCTGATGCGTCTAATACTGCTGCTGCTGCTTGCCTGGTTGTGGTTGGTGTGGTTCTTTGACTTGGCCATTTTCGCAGTGCTATNATACTGCTGCTGCTGCTTGCCTGGTTGTGGTTGGTGTGGTTCTTTGACTTGGCCATTTTCGCAGTGCTATCAGAAGCAACAATAAGCGAAGGCCGTATATAAGAAAAGACGAAACTTCAAACCAACGAACTGCGAAGCAGCAAACCCTAAACCCTAAACCCTAAACCCTAAACCCTCAGACAGCCGCGGGGCTGTGGGGCGGCGGCTGTTCTTTGGGTCTTTGTGCGTTGATTGCAGCTCATCTTCTGTCATCTATCATTAAAATAAATAAATTTTTGCAAATAAAATAAAGTTTCTTGAATTTAAATTTGCTTTTGAACCAACAGATCCTACTGTCTCAGCTGCATCAGCTAGTGGGCGCGCCACACCGGCTGTGCATGGTGACGGAAAGCTGCGGTAAAACCGCTGGAAATAAAAGAATGAATAGATATTCAATTAAAAAAAACAAATTAAATACTTTTTATTCAAAAATTAAATCAAAATTTGCGAGTTTTACCGCCTATTCTGCTCGCGTGGCTGTGAGCTTTCTCTCACCCGTTTCAACTGGTGCTGTACTACAGCTTTTTCTGTATGAGGGTTTTCTGTTTTTTTTAGGGATATTCACTCTTATTTCTGCTGATATTTAGACATTTAATTAAACTAATTTATAAAAAAACATCATACGCCATCTAATTCATCCAATGAGTGGATATAAATACACAAGAAGAAAACCCTAATAACTGGACAACCCACAAAACCCTAAACCCTAAACCCTAAACCCTAAACCCTAATAAAACGAATTGACAAAACCCTAAACCCTAAACCCTAATAAAACGCATTGACTAATCGCCCACAAACCTAAACACGAAACAAAGAAACGAATTAGCTGCATTCATATAAATAGAAATGCTGATTAGATTCATGATCTGCTGTAATACACTCAAACAAATGCAGTGGTACTGCAGCAACTACAAATAAACACATGCAGCAGCGAAAGCTACGAATGCTGCTGCNTGCTGCTGCTGAAACTGCAGCTGAGTGAACAATGCAGTGAATTTATATTGGGGCCCCACACACTGAGCGCTCTTCCTTTTTTTTTAAGATAAAAAAATAAAACAAAATAATATAAGAAAATAAATCTGTATAAAATTCGAGCAGAATAAACAAACCCTACATCCACTGCAGCGGTACTAAATGCTGCTGGTATTGCTGCTGCTAGAGAGCAAACTGCTAGCACGTTTGATGCTGCTGCACTTTCTGCTGCTGCTGCTGCACGTGCTGCAGCAGCAGCTGCTGCACGAGCATGTGTCGGTGCCGGAACAGCAGCAGCAGCAGAAGCAGCAGCAGCAGCAGCTGCTGCTGCAGCAGCAGTTTTGTAGTTTTATTCTTCTTCGTCTTCTGGGTCGAGTGGTTCTCCGTTTTCATCGCACTGTATTACAGCCTTTACCTGTAGCAGCAGAAAGCAGCCGCAGCAGCAGCAGCAGCAGCAGCAGCAACTAACCCCTCAACCCTTTCTTGTTCTTGCTGTAGGTACATGCATATATAAATACATAAACCCTGAGTATATATTCTAGGGTTTAGGGTTTAGGGTTTAGGGTTTGTCTCGCCTCTGGGTAGTAGTACTGCAGCATCTGCTCTACCCCTCTCTTCACCGTCACCGTCGAGGAGGGGCAGCCCTGGCAGCTGCCGATGAGGTGTATGTACAGCTCCCCCTTCTCTAGGTCAAAACGCAGCACCTCCAGGTCTCCTCCGTCGTTCTGCAGCAAAATACCAGCAGCAGCAGCAGCAGCAGCAGCAGCAGCAGTAGCAGCAGCAGCAGTAGCAGCAGCAGCAGCAGTAGCAGCAGCAGCAGCAGTAGCAGCAGCAGCAGCAACAGCAGCAGCAGCAGCAACAACAGCAGCAGCAGCAGCAGCAGCAGCAGCAACAGCAGCAGCAGCAGTAGCAGCAGCAGCAGTAGCAGCATATGCAGCAACTGAAACACTGCAGCAAGGGCAGTGGTGATCGCAGCAGAAGGTGAAGCAGGAAGAAAAGAAGCAGCAACGCAGCTGCAGCAGCAGCAACGGCAGCAGACAGAAAGAGACACAGCAGCAACAGCAACCCAAGCAGCACGAGGCCCAGCATTCATCGCACCAGCAGCACCAACAGCAACAACAACAGCAGCAGCAACAGAACCAGCAGAACCACCAGCAGCAGCAGCAGCAGCAGCAGCAGCAGCATCAGCAGCAGCAGCAGCAGCAGGAGCAGCATCAGCAGCATCAACAGCAGCAGCAGCAGCAGCAGCAGCAGCAGCAGAGCAAGTGTGGGTTACCTGCAGCATTGGCCTTGTTCTGGTGTTTAGGATTTCTTTTATTGAGTTCAGCAGCTCCTCCTCTTCTTCGCTGCTGACCTTCTTTGCTGCTTCTCCTTTACCTGCAGCAGCAGCAGCAGCTGCTGCTGCTGCTGCCTCCTTTGCTGCTGCTGCTGCTGCTGCCTCCTCTGCTTCGGCTGCCGCTGACGCCACTTCCAGCTGTGCTGGAATCGACGACCTGCAGCAGCAGAAGCAGCAACAGCAGCAGCAACAGCAGCAGCAGCAGCAGCAGCAACAACAACAGCAGCAACAACAGCAGCAACAATAACAATACAAAGAAATGATGCACTCCCGCGGAAATCCAGGCAGCTAGCGACTCCTGCTGCGTCAAACTCCTGCTGCTGCTGCTGCTGCTGTTGCTGCTGCTGCTGCAGCTGCTGCTGCTGCTGCTGCTGACCTGATGGCTTGCTGCACAAGGGGTTTGAGTGTCTCCCACTCTGCTGCTGCTTCCTTCACTACAGAAACAAACCCCCCACCAACCAGCACAGAGCTCACGCCATCCAGCTGCAACACAGCAGCAGCAGCAGCAGCAGCAGCAGCAGCAGCAGCGGGAGCAGCAAAAAGAACGGCAGCAGCAGCAACAGCGGCAGCAACAAAAGCAACAAATGAGAGGAGCTGGTCTAGTGCGAACGCGAGCAGCAACAGCAGCAACTACTGCTGCTGTTGCTGCAGCAGCAACAGCAGCAGCCGTTGAAGGCAGGGCAGCAGCAACACAGCTGCTGCGAAGGTAGCAGCAGCAGCAGCAGCAGCAGCAACAGCAGTATCGAAGCAAAAACAACAACAACAACAACAGCTGCAGCAGCAGCAGCAGCAGCAGCGGCAGCAGCACCTGCAGGATGGCTTGGGCAATGGGCGAATCCGAAAGGTCTGCGAAACAGCAGCAACAGCAGCAACAGCAGCAACAGCAGCAGCAGCAGCAGCAGCAGTAAAAGGAGAGATAAACGATAAAACCTTCGGCGCTAATATGGCGAGGACATGCGCTTCAATATGCTGCACTTTGTCATTCGCCAGCTGCTGCAGCAGCAGTAGCAGCAACTGCAGCAGCAACTGCAGCAGCAGCAGCAGCAGCAGCAGCAACAGAAGCAGCAACAGCTACGGAGACGTGAAACATGTGCAGCAGCAGCAGCAGCAGAAGCAGCAAAAACAGCAGCAGCAACAACAACAGGAGAAGTAGCAACAGCTGGATGAACAACCGCCGCCGGAGCAGGAACACCAGCAGCAGCAGCAGCAGCAGCAGCAGCAGCAGCAGCAGCAGCAGCAGCAGCAGTTTACCTTTTGAGAGTTTGTTGAATTGCTTGGCTGTGATTTTTCCTTTTATGTTTACGAGGGGCCGCGGGAGAAGAGGACGAAACTTTAGGGCGTTTGGATTGGGTGTTTCTTCTGCTGCTATTGCTGCTGCTGCTGCTGCTTCTGCTGCTGCTGTTGCTGCTCTTTCTGCTGCTGCTGCTGTTGCTGTCGCTGCTGCTGCTGATGATGCTCTTTCTGCTGTTGCTGCTGCTGCTTTTGCTTCTGCTGCTGATGATGCTGCTGTATCCGAAGAAAAATGGCGGTGTGATGGTGCCGCTGCTGCTGCAGTTGTTGCTGCTGCTGCTGCTGCTGCTGCTGTTCCTGCTGCTGCAGCAGAAGGCAGAGAGAAAGGCACCAGGCAGCGGTAGGGGACGCAAAGAAAAGGAGAAGAAGGAGCTGCTGCTGCTCGTGCTGCAGCAGCTGCTGCTGCTGGTGTTGCTAATATTTCTTTTGCTGCTGCTCGTGCTGCTCTCGCTGCTGCTGCTGCTGCTGCTGCTGCTGCTGCTGCACGTTGCAGCAGGACGAATCTGTACATTTTGTTACCGCAGCAAGCAGTTTCAAGGCCGTCTGTAGCAGCTCCTGGCTGCTGCTGCTGCTGCTGTTGCTGCTGCTGCTGCTGCTGCTGCTGCTGCTGCTGCTGGTTCTGGTGTATGAAGAGGTGTTTAGTTAGTGTTTTGTTTTTTGCTTACTCTGCTGACCATACACCCGAAAAACAAAAAACAAAATAAACAAATAACAGAAAAAGATGCGCATGCAAGCGCCACAAAGACATGAATCGACAGCTACCACCAGCTGCTGCTGCTGCTGCTGCTGCTGCTGCTGCTGCTGCTGCAGCAGCAGCCACAGGTCACCTTCGGGCTCCGGCTGCTGCTGCTCCTGCTGCTGCTGCTCCCGCTGCTGCTGCTGCTGCTGCTGCTGCTATTGCTAAGAAATCCGTGGTGTATAAAAAAATTAAAAAAAGTTTATTTAGGGGGCCGTAAACAAATTTCCAACTGCAAGACACGCGCTGCTGCTGCTGCTGCTGCTGCTGCTGCTGTTGCTGCTGCTGCTGCTGCTGCTGCTGATGATGACCAATCTGTCCTTCTAAGACATTCCGTAGTTTGTACTGCTGCTGCAACAGCTGAGGGATATCTTCTCGATGCACCCGCTGCTGCTGCGCTGCGTGGGTGTTGCTGCTGTTGCTGTTGCTGCTGTCACTGTTGCCGCTGCTGCTGCTGCTGTTGCTGCTGCTACGGTCACTGCTGCTGCTGCTGCTGCTGCTGTTACTGTTGCGGCTACTGCTGCTGCTGGTGGGAATGGCAACCTGAAGCCTCCAGCTGAAGTATAAGCCACTGCAGCAGCGGCAGCAGCAGCAGCAGCAGCAGCAGCGGCAGCAGCACAAGTGACCCGCGCTGCTGCAGCACTGCTGCAGCAGACGCTGCTGCAGCAGCTTCTAAGCTGCTGCTGCTGCTGCTGCAGTGCCGTGTGTACGAAGAAGACTGCTCCTTGGCGGTGTTGCTGT